CCATGCTGCTGAAGCTGAAGTTAGTAAAACCAAGAGGAAGGGGGAGAACCTTAAGAATAAGGGGAAGGAAGTTCAGCTTTCTGATACAGGGAGAAGGAAAAGTAAGGTTGTTGCTGGAGGAGGAGAGAAGCAGAAGGCAGCAGTTCGTGCAAAAAGGCAGAAGCGAGCTCCGGGGGGAGGGAATGAAGCTGCTTTGAACTATCGATGCAGCCCGAAAGAGGTTATGAGTCATGTGCTGCCTCCTTTATCTCATGGCAGGGTACAATTAATTAAGCAGCTGGGCTTGGATTTTCTCTTTTTGCTGAAGATGAAGAATCTGGACAATGAACTTCTTAAGTTCATTATTTCAAGGTGGGATGGGAAGAATAAGTGTATAAACTTGGATGATGGAAAGAAGATTTGCATTACGGAAGAGGATGTTTACAGAGTTTATGGCCTTCCACGGGGACCTAATGTTGTGTGTTTGCAGAAAACATCAAAGGTGAATTCTAACCTTGGTAAAGATTATGGTTTCAGTAAAACTGGGAAGGGGACTGTTGGTTTTGAGAATTTGAGGACTTGTATGGGAGCAGAGAAGTCTGATTCTAGGTGGGTTAATATGTATGTTTTGATGATTTTTTGCCGCCTTTTCGAATCTGTTACATCTAGGACAGTGACAACAGAATACTTGACTTTTCTTTCTCAAGAAATGGTTAAGTATTTCGGTGACTATGATTGGTGTAGTTATGTGTATGATCTCATTTGTGATAAGGTGACATCAAGTCAGCATCACAGTTGGGCTGAGGGAGATATGCATTTTCTTGCTCATTTGTTTCCTCGATAGGACAACTGTGAATGAGGAAGAGGCCAGCAACTGTGTCAGTAATTTGGTGCCAACCTGTCAGTTGTGGAGTTCGAAACATTTGAAGCAAAGGAAGGCAGCAATGGAGAAGAAGTTTGGGAAGGATTTTGGTAAGGTGTTTGTTCTAAGGGATGCACCCATTTCTTCTACTACTCGTCCGAAGATGGCTCGGAGTATTAGTGGAGATGAGAAGGGTTCTGGGATTGGAGATGAATTTCCAGATTTCGATTTGAATCTGGATGGCAAAACTGTTCAAGAGGTGAGTTTGTATGATTTTATATGTGTTCTTTGCTTACTTTGTACAGATTGTTCATATGCTTTATATGCTTTATGATATGTTTCTGTAGTGTTTATGCTGTCTGTATACTTTGTACTGTTTGCACTGTTTGTACACTTTGTATGTTTTGGTCTCATCCTTTGTACTGTCTGTATACTTTGTATCTTTTTGCACTGTTTGTACACTTTGTATGTTTTGGTTTCATCCTTTGTACTGTCTGTATACTTTGTATATTTTTCCACTGTTTGTACACTTTGTATGTTTTGGTTTCATCCTTTGTTGCACAGTTTGTACACTTTGTATGTTTTGGTCTATTACTTTGTACTGTCTGTATACTTTTTATCTTTTTGCACTGTTTGTACACTTTGTATGTTTTGGTTTATTACTTTGTACTGTTTTTATTATTTGTGTACATTCTGTAATTATGTTTGTGTTTTCTATTATTTGTTTTGTTGTAGGTTAAGTTGATTAGGAGAAGGTTACAAAGTGCATTATCTGAGTTGGAACAGCAAGGTAAGCTGTACCGAAGACAGATAATCAGTGTCACCTATACCTTGCTGATATCGAGGTGCACACTGATTCTGAAGGTGTTGAACTTGTTGAGAAAGTTACAACAAATGATTCTGAAGGTGCTGAAGTTGTTGAGAAAGCCACAGCAACTGATAATGTAGAGAGTGAGAGTGAAGGCGGTTATCAGAGTGGGAGTGGGAGTGGGAATGGAAGTGGGAGTGGTAGTGATGGTGATGGGAGCGATGGTGGTGATCGGAGTGGTGACGATGATGATGAGAGTGATGATGGAGATAGGAGTGAGGAGGAAACTGATGAAGATGTAGCTCTAGTTAAGTTGAAGAAGCCAGCTCTTGTGAGGCAGCAGCCAGCAGTGGAGAAGATTGGAAGTGCTCGCGCTCCATCACTTCCGCAGAAGCCAGCTAAGCTCCAGAAGACTCCTGAAGTTGTGAGGCAGCAGCCAGCAGTGGAGAAGAGTGGAAGTGCTCGTGCTCCAGCACTTCCGCAACAGCCAGATGAGCTCCAGAAGACTCCAGCACTTGTGAGGCAGCAGCCAGCCGTGGAGAAGACTGGAAGTTCTCGTGATCCAGCACTTCTGCAGCAGCCAGCTGAGCTCCAGAAGTCTTCTGTACCTGGGCACCAGCAGCCAGCAGTGGAGAAGATTGGAAGTGCTCGTGATCCAGCACTTCCGCAGTAGCCAGCTGAGCTCTAGAAGACGCCAGCACTTGTGAGTCAGCAGCCAGTAGTGGAGAAGGCTGGAGTTACTCATGATCCAGCACTTTCGCAGCAGCCAACAATGGAGATTGTGGCCTTTGATCCAACACTTCAAAAGCAGCCAGCAGAGGATGGAGTCGTGCCAACCGCAGTTTCCGAGGAGCTGCCACTTAAGGATAGTATGGAAGTTGTTTTACAGATTGCACAATCTGTGGAGGCAGGTGCTGATGGTGAGCAGGGTGACAAGCTTGCTTAGTTAATGATGGTGGTCTTTTAAATTTGTAGTACATCTTTTAAATATGCACTTTATGATTGGTTTGTATTGTTTGTACTCTTTGTCGTACTATTTGTACACATGTTGTGTGTGCACACTACTTGTGTATTGCAAACTAGATCTTATGGTTTATTAATTATCTAGTTCTCTGTATTTATGTCTTTTGTAATGTGCTATATTGTTTCATCTTTGTTGTTTTGGTTGTGAGAAGACGAGTCAAATAGTGATGATAACGATGGGGTGGGGATTGAAGATGATTGTGATGATATTTCTAGTGATAACGCTGAAGATGAGTCAAATGGTGAAGATGACAAGAAGAATGGCGTCGAAGGTAATAGTTATGTTTGTAGTTGGTGCTGTCCTTTAGTCTCGTTTACTGCAGTTTTAAACTTTTTGTACACTTAGTTACTTTTTCTGCTGCTGTTTGTAATGTTTGTCTATTTGTACACTTAGTTACTTTTTCTGCTGCTGTTTGTAATGTTTTTCTGTTTTGTTTGTGTTGTCTCTATTTTGTTAGATTCTGGGTCGAATGTTGATTTCGTTAATCAAAGACGCTCGAAAAGGGAGCTCAAGCCATCCAATTTAAAGAGGACACCATTTACTAGTGGTAATAAAAAGCGTAAACCTCCTTCCATGAAAGCACCTAATCCTATTCGGCAAAAAAAGAAAAAACCTACCTCCAAGAAGGTAGAGAAGGTAGCTCCACTTCGGACTAGTAGCCAACTATTGTATGAAGAAAAACTTATTCAATATGCTTGGAGTGACAGATTTCCTGTGTAAGTTTCATTTCATACTGTTTGTATACATTTATATATCAGTTTGTACTTTTCTTCTTCGGTTTGTGAATTTAATATAAACTGTTTGTGTACATTTTTAGGAATGAAATTCTTTTCGACATGGGTGAAGGTGAGTTTCGCTTGTCAAGGAAGGATACTCAAACGACATGTGACAAGATTGTTCTATCAATAAAATTTCTTGATTGCTATATTGAGAATTTCAACCATTGCTCTTCTTGTGAGAATGGATTTATTGGTAGATGGTCTTTTCCAACTGACTTTGCGGTGAGTTAATTTTCACATGTTGTATGTTATTTAGTATCTATTAGCCATATTAATGCAAGTTTTTTTTTGTCTTTGATTGTACCTAGTCCAAGGTTGTGAATGACAAAATGGAACCCAAATATTTGAAGGTCATGAAATCTTATGTCAGAAAATACGCATTGCAAGATGGTGCATCTTTCAAGACATGCCAATATGTAAGTTGGAATATTTCATCCTTTGTACACTTTGTGATTCTGTTTCATATTTTTTGTATCCTTTGTACACTTTGTGATTCAGTTTCATATTTTTTGTATACTTTGTACACTTTGTGATTCTGTTCCATATTTTTTGTACACTTTGTACAATTATGCTTTGTATGATTGTAATTTTTATGATTCTTCTTTGTTTCTTCTTCATTTGCAGTGGCTTTTCCCATGTTGTATGGATGATCATTTCATGGTATATTGTGTTAACTTGAAGGATCGTCGTTTCGAGTACCTTGACAGCTCTCCTTCTAAGCATTTTCTAGATCGGTTTAGGAGGGTTGGAGAGTTGGTCGTCCAGTATGCAATATCTTACATTCAACACATCATGCCAGGAAAGTATGACTTTGATAACGACTTCAAATGGCGAAGGATCACAATTCCATATGATAATTTCACTAGTGCTGGCATTATCTGTTAAAACTACTGTGAAGAATGGGAAGGTGTGGCTACAAAGACGATGAGGGAAAAATGGTCTTCTCCAACATATATTTACAACCGGAAGATTAATGCTATGTTGAATTTGCTGAATGGATCAAGGAATTTGATGATCGAGCAATTGAGGATGAATTTGTCTTTTAGTGAAGAATTGTTGCTGTCATTAGGGAGTTCCAGTACTGGGTTTTCGCTTGACAAATGATGAAATAGGGAACCAATAGTGTTTTTTTTTGGTAATCCATGACAGTATGCACTAGTACTATTTTCCATTCTCATGTTTTGTAATGCGGTGACCATATGAACAGTAGTGTGGCTGTTGGTGTTATGGTTAGAAGGCTATTGCTAACCATTAAGTTTTTTTGAGAATGTAAATACTTGTCCTTTCTAGTATGAACAGTAGGGTGGCTACTATTTATGTTCTGGCTTTGTAATTTTTATCACAGTAGTTTGTATGTTTTGTTGTTGTGGTTCGTAATTTTTTGTATCTAACATAGAATAAGCATGAGAAACATACAAATATGAATTGAAAAAGAACGCAAGAAATGAATTGTTTGATGTGACAATTATTCAGTTTATCTGTGTATCTATGCAATCACTCAAATTTATCTATATATCTATCAAGTAATATATGATATGGCAAGTATTTCTCCTTTCTTTGTTTGTCTTCTCCTTTCTTGAATGATTTCACTACGAATCTTCCTCCTTCTCCTTGTCACTTTGTTTCCATTTCTACAATAGGATTAAACAGCAGTAGTCAGTTTTTGTAGCATACTTATCCAACAAAAAAAAAAAAAACAGACCAGAAAAATATACAAACAATACAAACCTTAACCAATATCATTACTAACAGTCATTGATATGAATATCAACTGAAAGAATACTAACTATTATGAAAAAACATACTAAGGATACAAAAAGTAAGTGATATCATTACAAACCTGCTGCTTGTATTTACTTTCATGGCAGGTATCATGTATTTACTTTCCTTCAGCTGCCCTTTCTTGTAACTTTGTTTGTCTTCTCCTTTCTCGAATGATTTCAATACGATTCTTCCTCCTTGTCCTTGATTTAAATGGATCAGTCCTGACTTTTAATGCTTTCGCCCAATGTGGTTCACTCTCTGAACTTGTTGGATTCAATTCTGCTTCTAGAATAGGAAAAAAACAAAGGATTTAACAGCAATAGTCAGTTTTTGTAGCCAAACTTATCCTACAAAGAAACAGACCAGAAAAATATACTAACAATACAAACTTTATCTAATATCATTACTAACAGTCATTGATATGAATATCAACTGAAAGAATACTAAATGTTATGAAAAAACATACTAGGGATACAAACAGTAAGTGATCTCATTACAAACCTGCACCAAATTAAAGGTAGTGTTTCATTTCTTACCCGTGCTTGTGCTAGGCTGGCCAAACTTCATGGCAGGCATCATGGATTCAGCACGAATCTTCAATTCTTGCATTCCTTCCTCAAGCATCTTGTATATGTCATCATCCATACAAATGCGTGTTGCAAGCAAATTCATGGATCCAGTAAGTTGTTTCACCCTTGAACAGTACACCCTCTCTGCTGTATCTTGTATTGCCGGTAGTGTGAAATCTCCAGATTTTGCATCATATGTCCACCTCTTTAAGATGTAGCGTGTGTGAATATTCAGGATTTCTGGGTGTCCCCCATAGCCGAGGTGATCTATTGCGCGCAACACATGGCGACAAAGCCATCCACACTTCTCGAACATCTTGCATGAGCAAATCAGCTTACGCTCCACAAAGTCAACCATAACAATCCTCTTATCAATAGGATTTCCTTGCTGATCTAGTTTGTGAAGCTCATATGCAAACATTCCATCTATATCCTTGGAGTTGTTTGGTCGTATATGGTATTTGAATGACTTGGAGTATTCATCTTGCATGTTCCCAAATATATTTTGTGTATATTTGGTAACAAACTGTTGAAGAACCTCGTTGTTTGTGAAAACCAAGTATGGAATGGTGTTCAATGCATCATAGTCACTTCTCAACTCCTTATGTCTTTTGGCTTCAAGAAGGTTGTTAAATTGTATAAAAAACTCCCACAAAGTAAGTTTTGACTGGAGATACTTACGCAAATGGCTGTTGCAACTCTCGCTGAGTTGTGAGCTTCTCATTCCACATGCAAAATGATCTTTCAGCCATGCCGATGACCATTTACTTCTCACTTTGTGGAGGTTTTGCAGCCATGTCGCAATCTTACTTGTTAATTTCTTCCCTTCTTCTTCATTGAAGCAATTCTCAAGCATCTTCTTCCAATAATAGTCGAATTCATCCTCCGTCTCCAAATCATACATCAAGAAGGAAAGCTCTTCCAAAAATGGTGACCACCACAACCCATTACTTTTTGCATTCATTGTTATATGGAATGTGCACAGCCCATGATAAGTGCGCGGCAATGCTGTCCTCATACCAGCAGCAATTGTTGCCGCTTGATCGGTAAAAACAGCTCCCGGTTCCTTCCCGTTCATGCCAATGAGAAATTGTTTGAAGAGCCAATCAAATGTGGCTGATGTCTCATCATAGAGTAGGGCAGCACCAAAAACACATGATTCTCTATAGTTATTGAAGCCCACAAATAAAGCTAAAATGAACATTTTGTTTGAAATTAGTTATGAGGTTTAACAAAACTGACATATTGCAAAGTAACAGAACAGAGCAGAAAAACATACTAAGAATCCAAACTGTAAAAGAAAAACATACTAAGAGTACAAACTGTCAAAGAAAAACATACTAAGAATACAAACTGTAAAAGAAAAACATACTAAGAATACAAACAGCAACAGAAAACATACTAAGAACACAAAGAACAACAGAATCATGACAAATATGGAAGAAAATCATTACAAACATACATGTTAGTGAAAATTAAAAAATTATAGTACCTAATGGGAGAGCATTCTTGTTGGTGCGGTATGTTGTGTCAAAGCTGATGGTGTCACCAAAATAGAAATAGTCCATTCTCATGCGTCCATCCGCCCAGAAAATACTTGCAATTTCTTCATTGATGTCAACTTGGATCTCATAAAAGAAAGCTGGGTCCATTGAAGCTTCACTTTTGAAATGATGATAAATCATTGTTGCCTCCCCAAACTTCATTGTTTTTTGCCTTTTAGTCCCCAAGTATACAAACAGTACAAAGGATTAGACCAAAACATACAAAGTATACAAACAGTACAAAGAATATTACCAAAACATACAAAGTACAGAAATCAAATAGTATAAACAATACAAAACAGATCCAAAAAGCTTATAAAATGTTCAAAACCCACCTTTTAGTACAGATATAATTCTTGTGGTCCATTTGTGTGAAACCAACATTTTCTCTTCCTCCAGCAGCCAAGCATAATGCTTGAAATGATGATTGTATCGATATTCCAGCTTTGTGATACATGTCAATCAAGAACTTTTGCACTTCATTCATCGTTCTATTTGATCTCATGAATTGTCTTGATGATGGTGGGATCATCTTGTGATTATGCTCGTCTAACCAGCTTGAAATGTAGTATTTTTGGGAACTGTCTTCAAGCTGGAAGCGTATCACTGCTTTGCAATCCCATCTATCCTCTTTGGTGATTCTGCTTCTAGGTTGTTGGTCAACATGGTCGTCATTTGCTGGATTATTTGCACTACATTTTCGCCAACCTTCCTTATTGCATCTGCCACCAAAATATCTTACAACTTCACACGGTTTGTTATTGCTTGTTCTCTTAACCCCTCCTGTTTCTCTAACAGAAAATCCCTTATCATGTTCATAGCATTTGTACCACAGCAATCCATGATCTTTTGTGTCAAAGCGAAGGTTCATCCACGTTTCTTCATTGCTTGGTATTATTTTGATCTCATCATCTGCAGAAACAACCAGTTTACAATATCAGAACAACCACATTACAAAGTAACAGAATAGAGCAGAAAAACTGAAACGTCCCGATACTTTTAACAAAACCGAAATAACCATGGCTCCGGAGCCGATTTAAACCAACCTCAAAAGGTAAAATACAACTTAATCATTTTAAAGAAAAACATCAAATGCAAATGCCCTAAACACGTGGGCGACCTCAAATCACAGTCAATAAAACTCAATTCTTTTGAACCTCCAACTATACTCGTAATCATAAACATAAATAACTAAACAAACTCTAACTCTAACTCCTTGCTGAGCTCCCTGAGACCTTGTCCACGCTGGTACGGCTGCTCGCCACCGTCCTGCCTCTTCTAAAAAAACCACGACCGTTAAGCTTGCTCAACCTGGTGAGTGAGAAGGGGTCAGTCTCGTCGTTACTTCTTAAGGTCTTTGCCCTAGGCAAACTCCTTACTAAACACATTATTAGGGGAAATTACTTCCTCTTACATGAAAGTCGTTCTCACTTTCATCCTTAATATTTTAGTCCCTGATAGCTTATAGAAGTTCTGTACTTCTATCTTAATTTATATTCTTATTACTAGGGTTCACCGCGTTACGTACCGCCGTCCGGTGTCCCTATCCTCAAGGCAATGGTACTGCGTTACGTATCGCCGTCCAGTCCATGCCCGGTCAACTACTGCGTTACGTATCGCCGTCCATTAGTGACCCGACCATCTACCGCGTCCAGTAGTGGCCCAACCGCCCGGGGGTTCAATTATCATCATCCATACATCATAAACACACACAAACATAGCACAACGCGTGCCTCCACCTTAAGTAGGCGGTGGGATGCCTCACACACATAATCGCGCTTACTTGAAAATTAAATAACATAACTGAATTAAAAAGGCATAAACTAAAAGACCTCGATGGAGATTTTACCCCCTTTACACTCACCTCATTTGCCGACTCCGATCGATCGACGGGACTCCTCTTCACTGCCGGTTGATCCACGTCATCCCCCGAGATTCCATGCTCAAACTCCTCGCGCTTTACCTTCTTTTGCGCTTCCTCCCTATATCAATTTCCTCTTCCATGTCTCAAACCATCGGCAACAGACCCTCGTAGGAGATCATCCGAAACCCATTCTATAATTAGTACATAAGATAGCCACCCAAATAAATTTGTGAAAGCCCCTTAAACCAATGGTAAATTCATTCCTAGCTCCCACTGAATTCTTTACGTAAACCACTATCTAGATCATGGCCTATGTGTAAACGAATCCCATTTCTTGGCTTTATCCCTTCCTTCACCTCCATTACGTCCTTGACTTAGACATCTATGTCCATTTTGTATAATTCCGATCAATTACCAATGCCTATAACCTCAACATAGAAGCTTCAGATTAATTTTGTCTATCCTTTCCGTTCTACAAGCCATTCCTGTAGCTTGTTTATATATATAGCAAAATATACCAACTTCTTCCACCAACCCTCATCTCATCCAAGAAAACAATCACGTCTGACAGCTTTTGGCATCCAAAATGAATATACTAACCTTGTTTACCTTGAGCCTTACATGATTAAGGGCTGCTTCCCACCTAGACATGATCCACGAGCTAGGAACACGTGTATATAATCATACACCTCCAATGAATTCTTGGAGTCCTTCTTCAGCTTGATACCTCGAGTTCCCACAAACGTCGATCCGTTATTCTACCCGCAAGCTCTCCCCTCCAGTCCACTCGTCTACTTGGCGTTCCTGTCCACAAGCGACGTCCCATCTTCCATCCTTCACAGCTTCCTCTCTCCTGGCAGTCGGCGATCGCTGAGGAAATCCCCCGGTTGCGAGATCAAGAAAGCTAGGTGGTTCCTCTCTGTTTCGGGTCTAGTGTTTCGGCTGCCTGGGATCCAGTTGTAGGGTGAGGCACTTGTGTGCCCATATATATATATGAAAAGGGTTGGACGAGTATGGGACCGGTTGGGTTAGGTTTAGGGTTTCAAGGGTATTTTGGGAGCTTTCACAATTACAGTTGAGTTTGACCCGAAACTCAGATAACGTTCGTAACTTACTTATTTATGTCAAAACTCGACACCGTTTGAACTGATAGTTCACATTTTTAATCCTCATCAATGCTACGGTGGAACTTGACAACTTGATCCAAGAGTATAATAGTCATTTTTACTTTTTGGAAGAGAGGGGTGTAACAAAAACATACTAAGAATACAAACTGTCAAAGAAAAACATACTAAGAGTACAAACTGTAACAGAAAAACATACTAAGAGTACAAACTATAAAAGAAAATCATACTAAGAGTACAAACTGTAACAGAAAAACATACTAAGAACACAAACATCAACAATACTAACATTACAAACACAAATAAACCATACAAACTGATGCACTAAAGCTATAAAGACATATGATATTTCGTACAAACTGCATAAACCATACGATTTTACTGTTTGCACTGTTTGTACAAACATAACAATCATCATATATAAAGACTTACAAAACAAAATGTACAGAACAGAGCAGAAAAACATACTAAGAATACAAACATCAAAAGAAAAACATACTAAGAATACAAACTAT